GTCAGGAAGTGGAATAGTCTGGCAAGTGATGTAGCAGAGGCAGGAACCATACATCGTTTTAAAACGAGGTATGATAAAGCTCATGGAGCAGGGGCAGACAGGACCTAGTAGCGAGTTCAATCCCCGCCCATGGTATAGTTTGCTTTACATGTTGGTAGTATTGCTGATGCCTTTTTTGCCTTGTCTCATAAACATTAGAGATAACAGGTCTATCTTGCTACTACATTGGTCACACTACACATGTTTGTACACGCATCTGGGCTTTCTTCTATTTTCGTAACTTATTTTTCTTTATTATCTCCTCTTATCTTTTTTATCTCCTCTTATCTTCATAGGGAAGTGGGAAAGAATTCTTCCTTCATAAACCATGCATGTCTTAAGAGGCTACTAAAATACCGGGAGCAAGGAGCTAGTAACCCCTTCTTCTGGGATATATCCGGTATGTTAAAGAAAAAAATTCAAAGGTCGGGCAGAGCCGGAATCCACGGCAATCGTGTCCTAAAACTTCCAAGTCAACGTCATTACTATTTCGTTAGTCAGTACAGAAGAAAGCTATTCTAATATACGCTTTGTAAATAGTCATAGACTTGAAACGAGATAAACGAATTCATAATGGTTCAGTATAAGTGAAAGGGTGATGTTTTTATAATTAAAACGTAGTTTAATTTGAAGATGCGGAACGTGACTGTCGAGTAACACATTAGGGCTTCAATTTGTCCATTATTAACATAAATAACGAGATGGGAGTGGCACTGAAATCCCGGGTTTTTTGACTATTGTTCCAGTTATGTTAGTGCCTTTTTTATTCTTTACGTAATTAAAATCATATCCAACACTTACAAATTTGTGCTTAAATTCAATCAAGCTTTTTTGTTTACGTTTATTTTACTGGTTCCAACATTTTACTGGTTCCAGCATTTTACTGGTTCCAACATTTTTCGCAAAATTCTGGACATCAATACATATGCACAAGTTGCCATTTATATTGCCACAAACCAGAGATGATGATGAATCAATCAAAATGAATTACTATTAGCAAAAAATCAATAGGCCATATACGACAACACGAACGTAATTGTTTCACAGTCAATGAGACAGTTTCTATGATTGACGAGGGTGTAGGTCCGTTCATGATTATTGTATTGTTGATGACGGAGTTGTTGATGACGGTGTTGTTTATGACGGTGTTGTTGATGATGGTGTTGTTGATGACGGTGTTGTTGATGATGGTGTTGTTGATGAGGTGTTGTTGATGACGGTGTTTGTTGATGAGGTGTTGTTGATGATGGTGTTGTTGATGACGGTGTTGTTGATGATGGTGTTGTTGATGACGGTGTTGTTTGATGATGGTGTTGTTGATGATGGTGTTGTTGATGATGGTGTTGTTGATGATGGTGTTGTTGATGATGGTGTTGTTGATGATGGTGTTGTTGATGACGGTGTTGTTGATGATGGTGTTGTTGATGATGTGTTGTTGATGACGGTGTTGTTGATGATGGTGTTGTTGATGATGGTGTTGTTGATGATGGTGTTGTTGATGATGGTGTTGTTGATGATGGTGTTGTTGATGATGGTGTTTGTTGATGATGGTGTTGTTGATGATGGTGTTGTTGATAACGTTGTTGATGACGGTGTTTGTTGATGACGGTGTTGTTGATGACGGTGTTGTTGATGATGGTGTTGTTGATGACGGTGTTGTTGATGACGGTGTTGTTGATGATGGTGTTGTTGATGACGGTGTTGATGATGGTGTTGTTGATGACGGTGTTGTTGATGACGGTGTTGTTGATGATGGTGTTGTTGATGATGGTGTTGTTGATGATGGTGTTGATGATGACGGTGTTGTTGATGATGGTGTTGTTGATGATGGTGTTGTTGATGACGGTGTTGTTGATGACGGTGTTGTTTATGACGGTGTTGTTGATGATGGTGTTGTTGATGATGGTGTTGTTGATGACGGTGTTGCATTGTTGATGACGGTGTTGTTGATGACGGTGTTGTTGATGACGGTGTTGTTTATGACGGTGTTGTTGATGATGGTGTTGTTGATGATGGTGTTGTTTGATGACGGGTTGTTGCAATTGTTGATGACGGTGTTGTTGATGACGGTGTTGTTGATGACGGTGTTGTTGATGATGGTGTTGTTGATGACGGTGTTGCATTGTTGATGACGGTGTTGTTGATGACGGTGTTGTTGATGACGGTGTTGTTTATGACGGTGTTGTTGATGATGGTGTTGCTGATGACGGAGTTGTTGATGACGGTGTTGTTGATGACGGTGTTGTTGATGACGGTGTTGTTGATGACGGTGTTGTTGATGACGGTGTTGTTGATGATGGTGTTGCTGATGACGGAGTTGTTGATGACGGTGTTGTTGATGACGGTGTTGTTGATGACGGTGTTGTTGATGACGGTGTTGTTGATGACGGTGTTGTTTATGACGGTGGTTGTGATGATGGTGTTGTTGATGATGGTGTTGTTGATGAGTTGTTGTGATGACGGTGTTGTTGATGACGGTGTTGTTTATGACTGGTGTTGTTGATGATGGTGTTGCATTGTGATGACGGTGTTGTTGATGACGGTGTTGTTTATGACGGTGTTGTTGATGACGGTGTTGTTTATGACGGTGTTGTTGATGATGGTGTTGTTGATGATGGTGTTGTTGATGACGGTTGTTGTTGATGACGGTGTTGTTGATGACGGTGTTGTTGATGATGGTGTGTGATGACGGTGTTGTTGATAGACGTGTTGCATTGTTGATGACGGTGTTGTTGATGACGGTGTTGTTGATGACGGTGTTGTTGATGACGGTGTTGTTGATGATGGTGTTGTTGATGACGGTGTTGTTGATGACGGTGTTGTTGATGATGGTGTTGTTGATGAGTGTTGTTGTTGATGACGGTGTTGTTGATGACGGTGTTGTTGATGATGGTGTTGTTGATGATGGTGTTGTTGATGACGGTGTTGTTGATGACGATGTTGTTGATGACGGTGTTGTTGATGATGGTGTTGTTGATGACGGTGTTGTTTATGACGGTGTTGTTGATGACGGTGTTGTATTGTTGATGACGGTGTTGTTGATGAAGGTGTTGTTGATGACGGTGTTGTTGATGACGATGTTGTTGATGACGGTGCTGTTGATGATGGTGTTGTTGATGACGGTGTTGTTTATGACGGTGTTGTTGATGACGGTGTTGTATTGTTGATGACGGTGTTGTTGATGAGGTGTGTGGTGTTGATGATGGTGTGTTGTTGATGGTGTTGTTGATGACAGTGTTGTTGATGACGGTGTTGTTGATGATGGTGTTGTTGATGACGGTGTTTGCAGTTGTTGATGACGGTGTGTTGATGACGGTGTTGTTGATGACGGTGTTGTTTGATGACGGTGTTGTTGATGATGGTGTTGTTGATGAGTGTTGTTGATGATGGTGCTGTTGATGACGGTGTTGTTGATGACGGTGTTGTTGATGATGGTGTTTGTGTGAGGTGTTGTTGATGACGGTGTTGTTGATGAGGTGTTGTTGATGACGGTGTTGTTGATGACGGTGTTGTTGATGACGGTGTTGTTGATGACGGTGTTGTTGATGATGGTGTTGTTGATGACGGTGTTGTTGATGATGGTGTTATTGATGATGGTGTTGTTGATGATGGTGTTGTTGATGACGGTGTTGTTGATGACGGTGTTGTTGATGAGGGTGTTGTTTGTATGATGGTGTTGTTGATGACGGTGTTGTTGATGACGGTGTTGTTGATGACGGTGTTGTTTATGACGGTGTTGTATTGTTGTGACGGTGGTTGTATTGTTGATGACGGTGTTGTATATGTTGTGACGGTGTTGTTCATGCGGTGTTGTATTGTTGGTGACGGTGTTGTATTGTTGATGACGGTTGTTGTATTGTTGATGACGGTGTTTGTTTTGTTGATGACGGGTGTTGTATTGTTGGTGACGGTTGTTTGATTGTTGGTGACGGTGTTGTATGTTGATGACGGGTGTTGATAGTTTGTTGATGACGGTGTTTGTGTGTTGTTGATGACGTGTTTGTATGATTTTGATGACGGTGTTGTATGTTGATGACGGTGTTGTTTGATGACGGTGTTTTGATGACGGTGTTGTTGATGACGGTGTTGTTCATGCGGTGTTGTATTGTTGATGACGGTGTTGTTCATGACGGTGTTGTATTGTTGGTGACGGTGTTGTTGATGACGGTGTTGTTGATGACGGTGTTGTTGATGACGGTGTTGTTGATGACGGTGTTGTTGATGACGGTGTTGTTGATGACGGTGTTGTTTACGACGGTGTTGTTGATGACGGTGTTGTTTATGACGGTGTTGTTGATGACGGTGTTGTTGATGACGGTGTTTGTGTTAATGACGGTGTTGTTGATGACGGTGTTGTTGATGACGGTGTTGTTGATGAAGGTGTTGTTGATGACGGTGTTGTTGATGACGGTGTTGTATTGTTGATGACGGTGTTGTATTGTTGATGACGGTGTTGTTGATGACGGTGTTGTTGATGACGGTGTTGTTGATGACGGTGTTGTATTGTTGATGACGGTGTTGTATTGTTGATGACGGTGTTGTATTGTTGATGACGGTGTTGTATTGTTTATGACGGTGTTGTATTGTTTATGACGGTGTTGTATTGTTGATGACGGTGTTGTGTTGTTGATGACGATGTTTGTATTGTTGATGACGGTTGTTGTTGTGTTGATTTATGTTCTAAACTGTTCATGAGTGTTGCAATGTTCATGTGTTGCAAAGTTTCTTGTGTGTTGGAATATATGTGTTGCAACGTATATGAGTGTGTTGCTGTGTGCTTGAGTATTGTAATGTTCATGAGTGTTGCATTGTTCATGAGTGTTGCAATGTTCATGAGTGTTGCAATGTTCATGAGTGTTGCAATGTTCATGAGTGTTGCAATGTTCATGAGTGTTTGCGAATGTTTCATGAGTGTGTGCAATGTTTCATGAGTGTTGCAATGTTCATGAGTGAGTTGCGGGATGTTTCATGAGTGTTTAGCAATGTTTCATGAGGTTGCAATGTTCATGAGTGTTGCAATGTTCGATGATTGTTGCAATGTTCATGAGTGAGTTGCGATGTTCATGAGTGTTGCAATGTTCATGAGTGTTGCAATGTTCATGAGTGTTGCAATGTTCATGAGTGAGTTGCGATGTTCATGAGTGTTGCAATGTTCATGAATGTTGCAATGTTCATGAGTGAGTTGCGATGTTCATGAGTTGCGATGTTCATGAGTGTTGCAATGTTCATGAGTGAGTTGCGATGTTCATGAGTGTTGCAATGTTCATGAGTGTTGCAATGTTCATGAGTGAGTTGCGATGTTCATGAGTGTTGCAATGTTCATGAGTGTTGCAATGTTCATGAGTGAGTTGCGATGTTCATGAGTGTTGCAATGTTCATGAGTGTTGCAATGTTCATGAGTGTTGCAATGTTCATGAGTGAGTTGCGATGTTCATGCGTGTTGCAATGTTATGAGTGTTGCAATGTTCTTGAGTGAGATTGTTCGATTGTTATAAGGTGTTGCAATGTTCATGAGTGTTGCAATGTTCATGAGTGAGTTGCGTGTTCATGAGTGTTGCAATGTACATGATGTGTTGCAATGTTCATGAGTGTTGCAATGTTCATGATGTGAGTTCGATGTTCATGAGTGTTGCAATGTTCATGAGTGTTGCAATGTTCATGAGTGTTGCAATGTTCATGAGTGAGTTGCGATGTTCATGAGTGTTGCAATGTTCATGAGTGTTGCAATGTTCATGAGTGTTGCAATGTTCATGAGTGTTGCAATGTTCATGAGTGAGTTGCGATGTTCATGAATGTAGAGCATTGTTTATGAGTGTTGCAGCGTTCTTGATGTTGCTATGTTCATGTGTTTCATTGTTCATAAGTGTTTGCAGTCACATGAGTATGCTGTTCATAGTGTTCATGATTGAGTTGCAGTGTTCATGAGTGTGTTGCGATGCTCATGAGTGTGTTGCGATTTTCATGAGTGTGTTGCAATGTTCATGTGTTGTAATGTTCATGATTGTGTTGCATTTGTCAGGAATATATTATACAGAAACGAGTTTATTTTGTTCTTGTGTGTATTGCATTGTTCATCAGTGTATTGCATTGTTCATCAGTGTATTGCATTGTTCATCAGTGTATTGCATTGTTCATCAGTGTATTGCATTGTTCATCAGTGTATTGCATTGTTCATCAGTGTATTGCATTGTTCATCAGTGTATTGCATTGTTCATCAGTGTATTGCATTGTTCATCAGTGTATATTGCATTGTTCATCAGTGTATTGCATTGTTCATCAGTGTATTGCATTGTTCATCAGCGTATTGCATTGTTCATCAGTGTATTGCATTGTTCATCAGCGTATTGCATTGTTCATCAGTGTATTTTATAGAACATTTCCAGACTGTGCTGTATGTTCAAATGTGTGTTGTATTGTGCACGAGTGTGATTCATTTTGTATGACTGTGTTGCATTTCTAATTTGTGTGTTGCATTGTGCTTGAATATATTGTGTTGTTTATGAGAATGCTGCATGGTGCACATGAGTGTTGCATTGTGCACGTGTTGTATTGTATATGTCCTTTATTGTGTGTTGTATTGTATTGCACTGTTATTTATGAATGTTTTGTGTTACTAGTGAACTGAATTGTTCATGAGTGTATTCTGTTTTCAATGAGTATCCTGTGTTGTTCATGAGTGTTGTGTTCATAAATGAGGCACATTCTTCGTGAGAGTGTTGTGTTGGTGCTAAGTATTGACATGATTGTGTTGTGTAGTTCACTTTTGTGCCACGTTGTTCCTCAGTTAATTGTGTTGTTTACGAATGCACGAATGATATTGTTCGTTAGCTTGTAGTGTTCTTCACGAATGTGTTGCACCGTTGACGAGAGTGTTACTGTGCGGTACAATGTGATATGTTGTACATGAGTGGTCTACAATACCGACATGATGATGAGTTAGACACATGTGCAACATCTGGGTATCCTTATTGTAGACGTTTCGCCCTCCAGTGGCTTTATCAATACATTTAAAGGACATTATATAAAGACTGTGGAACTATATATAAAATATGAGGTAATCAGTCCCTTAGCTTTGGAGATGGTGTTGAGCACCAGCTCCAGGGCTGAGGGACTGATGACGCCATCTTTTGTATATAGTTCTACCTTCTCCATATAATGTCCTTTAATTTGATAAAGTCAATGGACGTCTATAAATATAGATACTGAGGTGTCGCACGTGTGTCTAAGTCTTCAAGGTATTGAGTTATTCATTTATGTGTTGTGTTATTTATGAATTTATTGTTTTGTTGAGTAAGTTAAATTGTATCTGCGCGTGTTGCATTGTCCATGAGTGTGTTGTAATGTTCCTTAGAGTGTTGCAATGTTCTTCAGTGTGTTGTAGCGTCCATGACGGCCTTTTGTTTTGCTTCTGTAGAAGTTGTATTTTCCGTGAGTGTGTTGTGGTGTTTATTAGTGCACTGTGTTTATCATGACTGTGTTGTGCAGTTTAAGTATTTTTATGTGTTGGTCGTTTGTGTTGCATTGTTTATATGCCGATTTTTTCTTGAGTGTTTTGCGTGGTTTATGAGGGTATTTTAATATTCATATCTGTGTTGCATAATTCATGAGAGAGAAGTGTTATATTTGTGTATTACGATGCTCATGGACGTGTTACTTTGCAGGTACAGCGTGGAGGGGAGCAAGTTACTGTTACTGGGAAGACTGGACCACAAGCTCTCCTCTGTGATTCCTTCTAAATCTTCTCCTGACACTAGTGTCAAAAGCTCATTCTTCTTGCGTCATCAGGGCAGCTCCGCCGTATCCTCTGTCTGGCATCTTTCCAGTACTTCTCCCTCATCCCCAGTTTTCCTTTCTTTTCGACCTACGCCAAGAGCTTCCTCTACCGACCCGTCCTCGACTCCTCCAGTAAATAAGTCACACGCCCCAGCATCACACCTAGACGCCCAAGAATCACCCCCAGACGCCCCTGCATCACGCTTAAATGCCTCAGCATCACATCCAGATGGCCCAACATCACGCCCAGATACACCACTATCACGCCCTGACGCCTACATAAAATCTGGTGCAGTGGCTGTACTAGAGTGTTCAGCTGAGCACTCCAAGACAACTGTTGTGTACGTCATGCAAGGTAACGTGTTCTGTTATGCTGTTCTTTAACACTGTTGTCAATGAGAGCAGGAAGAGGTTAAATATTATTGATAAGAATTTACGGGTAAGATAGATTTTGTGGGACATCATCAAGACAAAGTGTTCATTATAGCTAAGTTAAAATTCTTGAAAAGTAACTAGGAACTACAAGATATAATGTTGCCTTAGTCTTGGCTACAACGAATCAAAAAAGTCACAATACTATCTATGTTCCTAAATTTATTCTCAATTATATTAAGTCATTGTAATGTTCATTAAATTACATCCAATTTATTTGTTGTCACGACTCCATTTGCTGTTAGGTCAAGTACCTAATTTAGCATTTTGGGTGTTATTTAATTCTGCGAACCTACCTCCATTTTTTCTGTTTTGAAGATTACAGCTGTCGAATGCAGCATGAAGTCGTTAACAAACCAATAAAACCTGTCAGTGAGTGTAATTTGTAAAATAATTGTTGTTGGTGCGGCTAAAAGATTAATGAATTAGAGTGTCACACACATGAAAGTAGGGAAAAACTTACATTGGGGCTAAACTTGGCGACTCATATTTTACGCCTGGAAATAATAAAAGTTGAATGAGATATCGCAATTACCAGTGGTTTTTGTAAATGTTGTGGGTGTCTTAATGTTTGTAGTGGTGTCGTTGGAGGAAACTTAAAGGAAGTTATGGAAGTGCGAGTAGAGTGGTGATATTGTGAAGTGTTTGTGAGGCGTTCCGTTGTGAAGTGTTGTGAGTGTGGTTCAGTTATGAAGTGCTGTGAGTGTGGTCGTTGTGAAGTGTTGTGATGGTTCGTTGTAAGTGTTGTGAGTGGTGTTCGTTGTGAAGTGTGTGAGTGGTGGTCTTGTTGTGAAGTTTTGAGTGGTGTCGTTGTGAATGTTGTGAGTGGTGTTCGTTGTGAAGTGTTGTGAGTGGTGTCGTTGTGAAGTGTTGTGAGTGGTGTTCGTTTGTGAAGTGTTGTGAGTGGTGTTTGTTGTGAAGTGTTGTGAGTGGTGTTCGTTGTGAAGTGTTGTGAGTGTTGTTGTTGTGAAGTGTTGTGAGTGGTGTTCGTTGTGAAGTGCTGTGAGTGTTTCGTTGTGAAGTGTTGTGAGTGTTTGTTGTGAAGTGTGTGAGTGTTCGTTGTGAAGTGTTGTGAGTGGTGTTCTTTGTGAAGTGTTGTGAGTGGTGTTCTTTGTGAAGTGTTGTGAGTGTGTTGTTGTGAAGTGTTGTGAGTGGGTTCGTTGTGAAGTGTTGTGAGTGTGTTCGTTGTGAAGTGTTGTTAGTGTTGTTTGTTGTGAAGTGTTGTGAGTGGTGTTCTATAAAAAAGGATTATTTGGGTGTTCTGGTAGCGGGTGGTTAATGATAAATGTCTTCGGAGCTTCTTACTTTATTGTTAAGTCGTGGTGGGTACACAGGCTTGTGTGTTGTGCCCATGGCCCGGGCTGGGCCATCCCACGAGAGTAGGCTAGGAGTAGGCCTTGTGTCTTCCTGCTAGGCCGACTGTGTGAGTGAGAGCGTGGCAAGGGCAGACAGGCTGGCGTGCCTACCGAGAGGGCTGGCTACAGAGGGCAACACTTGAGTGGTGCGAAATGTGAACTAAGCTGGCAGACAGCATGGGCTGTCTGTGCAGACAGTACAGGCTATCTATATATGCTCGGCCACCTACCGCACGTCGTCCCAACGGGACAATACTGGTGGTAAAAGAAACTCGGTCTCTCTCTCGTAGGAACTGGGCACAGAACACAAAATAAAAACATATATATACATATGGACATGGAAAAAAAACTTCCTACAGGGAGGGAAGAAAAAAACATGTGGGGTGTGCTAAACATCGTGGTCAAAGGCAGTGAGCGTCGATGGGCATCACTGCACGCCTTCCTGCGTCTGGACAGATACTGCAACACGGGAGACATCGCTGCGGCTGAGCTGTGACGTAACAGGGTACTGTCTCCTCTGGAATGGTGAAGCAGTCATCGTAGGAGTTGCTGCAGGTTTTCACTCAACCTGGGGCACGACATGCTGATGCCGTCGAGTGAGGCATCAACAAAACTCGGCAACTGGGCAGGACTTCTGGCAAGCGACTCAGGACGACACTTCTCGATTGGTACTGTCGCTGGGCTGTCACTGCCGACGAGCGTGGAGCAAGTTGTGGCAGAGACGACTGGGCGAAACATCTGGGAGTCGTAACATCATACACCAGACTGAAGTGAGAGAGCTAGCAGTCAAAGTGACATCATCTTTGTGCAGGCTGCTCACTGAAGCTTGTGACATGAGGCTGACACAGCGCCTGCCGACAGGGCTAACTGCGGCTTGATGAGCATCATTCTCTCAGCAGTTGGAGTTATAGCAGAGGTTAGTCTAAGCATCCCCAGACTTGTTTCTCTACATATAACTGCACTCTGAAGGTCTGGAGGTGAAGTGAAACAAATCTCGATGGGAATCGTAGCTGGTACGATTCTGCAAAACATCACGAGCGACGAGCATAAAAGCTTTCTGTACAAGAGGGCTCGGTCACTCGGGGGCTGAGTAAATCAGCTGTCAAACGTACTGGTCACACGAGTGACTTAGCACAGTGGTGCTACTCAGGTCTGGCTCAGACCTCACTGGACACACGGAAACTTTAAACACACCCGTGGTACATGCGGTACATTGACTGAGAGGAATTAATTAACACACAACATATATCTTCTCTCAATCTCCTCGACAATACTGAAATACAGTGGACCCCCGGTTAACGAACTTTTTTCATTCCAGTAGTATGTTCAGGTCCCAGTACTGACCGAATTTTTTCCCATAAGGAATATTGTGAAGTAGATTAGTCCATTTCAGACCCCCAAACATACACGTACAAACGCACTTACATAAATACACTTACATAATTGGTCGCATTTGGAGGTGATCGTTAAGCGGGGGTCCACTGTAATTACTAGAACACTCGATGGTGACATCATGTGATATCAGGCGTGATGATGCAAGGTGACGTCAGCAGCACTGTGACGTCAGCAGACATCGTGACGTCATGAAGTTGGGCAGCATCGTGGGTGACGTCGATGTGATGCGGGCAGCAGACCACAGCATGAGGCCTGGGACATCTGGTAACTCACGTGGCTGGTAGATCTACGTGACATCGTCCACACCCACGTGGCGTCGGGATTCACGTGGCGTCGTGATCTATGTGGCATGCTGATCCACGTAGCTTCGAGTGGCCTCGGGCACTCGGATGCACAGTGCTGGCAATGAATTCACATGGAAAACAGCAGAAAACACAGCAGAGGGAGTGGGTAGTGGTGAGTGGTGTATGGTAGGCTGGTGAGGTGTGAGAGTACAGCAGGGCGAGGCAAGGAGCGGCCACTTCCTCCTCCCATAAACACGTGGAGACTCACACTGGACACAGAAATCGCCACAAAACTCACCTCTGGCTTGCTGAAACAGCTGTGCTGAGCTGAACAACAACAGCAACATACAGGTGATGCTGAACACGTGACTTGAGAAACAGCTGGGACGCTGTAGTGTGGGGTCACTGGGACACCACTTACAATTCTCGGAGAAATTCGGCAAATTTCGGCTGGATCCTGCTTGTACCTGTGTCTGGATGCTCAAACGTGCAGACACGACATCAGGATAACTCGTTGAGAGATGGATGCTTCTTTCATGGGATGATGAAGTGAAGATGACTTCATCCCTCTTCCTTCCTCTCTCAGGGTAAGCACAACTGCTGCGACCACCACTGCTACCAATGTTGAACAAGGAATATTTGGTTGGGCTGAAAGCGGGTGGTTCAATGATAAACTTCTTCGGAGGCTTCTTACTTTATTGTTATGTCGTGGTGGGTACACAGGCTTGTGTGTTGTGCCCATGGCCCGGGCTGGGCCATCCCACGAGAGAGGCTAATGGACATAGCCCTTGTGTCACCCGTCTCCTCAAGCTGCCGCTGTGTGAGTGAGAGCGTGGGCAAGGGCAGAAGGCTGGCGTGCCTGCCGAGAGGCCTGGCTACATAAGGCAACACTTGAGTGGCACGAAATATGAACTAAGCTGGCAGACAGCATGGGCTGTCTGTGCAGACAGTACAGGCTGTCTACAGTTCTTTGTGAAGTGCTGTGAGTGTGTTCGTTGTAAGTGCATTGTGAGTGTTTGTTTGTTGGAAGTGTTGTGAGTGGTAGTTCATTGGGTTAAGTGCTGTGATGGTGAACGCTGTGAAGCTATTGTGTGGTGTTCGTTGTGAAGTGTATGTTGTGGTGTTGACGGAGTTTGTGGACAACGTTTAGTGTTGTGAGTGGTGTTTCGTTGTGAAGTTATTGTTGTTGAGTGTGTGTTCGTTGTGAAGTGTTGTGAGTGGTGTTCGTTGTGAAATGTTGTGTAGTGGTGTTCTTTGTGAAGTGTTGTGAGTGGTGTTCTTGTGAAGTGTTGTGAGTGGTGTTCTTTGTGAAGTGCTGTGAGTGGTGTTCTTTGTGAAGTGTTGAGTGAGTGTGTTTGTGAAGTGTTGTGAGTGGTGTTCGCTTGTGAAGTGTGTGAGTGGTGTTCTGTTGTGAAGTGTTGTGAGTGGTGTTCTTTGTGAAGTGTTGAGTGGGTTGTTGTGAAGTGTTGTGTGTGTTTCTCTTGTGAAGTGTTTTAAGTGGTGCAAAAAGTCTCCCACTTATGTAAATTATTGTAACGTTAAGGATGAGTCCTCTAAGTGTGATACTTGTATGCTAGTAGATGAAGAACTCCTCTAACGTGTTCTCATGAATGTGTGGGTGGTGCTTGAAAAGCCTCCCTCACTGCTTGACATGAAGGTTCAGAAGGGTCTGTGGGTGGATGTGTATGAAGGCTCCTCTACTGCTTCACTGAAGGTTCAGAAATGTTGTGGGTAGTGCTAGAAGCCTCCCTCACTGCTTCACTGAAGGTTCAGAAATGTTTAGTTATTTTTCATTTTTTCAGATCATTAAATATTCCAACAACATTTGACTTAATTCACTTGTAATTTTGAATTAAAAAAAATTCTATCACAGGCTTTTTTTTTTTTAC